CATATATCTTTATTCTGTTTTTTTTTTTTTTTTTAAACAATACATCTTCAGGAGTAATAAGGTTAGATCAGGATGTTTGCACATATAAAGTTTATATTTTTTGGCGGGGAGGTTTCTGGGGATTGAACTCAGGGGTACTCTACCACTGAGCCACAACCCCAGACCTATTTTGTATTTTATTTAGAGACAGGGTCTCACTGAGTTGCTTAGGGCCTCGAATTTGCTGAGACTGGCTTTGAACTCACAATCCTCCTGTCTCAGACATTACATGCCTCAGCCACCGCACACATATAAAAATTTTTAAGTGGCATTCAATTGTCTTGCAGAAAGGCTAGCCAATTTCCACACCTGCCAACAATAAGTGGGAGTGCCTTTCCTGTCACCCCTTGACCAACGTGGAGTGTTGTCAAGGGTTTCTACATTTATCAATCTGATAACAGACAAATGACACCTCTGAGGAGTTACCAGTCAAATTTCCAATCTTTTCTGGTGATAATTGGCTATTTGTTTTCTCTCTCTCTTGCTGAATTATCTGTGTCCTTTGCCCATTGTTCTATTGAGGGGTTCACTTTAATTCAATTATTTGAGTTTTTTGTATTAACCTTTTGTTGGTGCCATGTGTAACAAATATTTTCTTTAGCTTGTCATTTATTTTCGATCTTTTTCGTGATTTTGCTATTGCGTGTCATGTAGTCATTTCTAAGGGTCTTCCTGCATCTGCTTCCTGGGTTTTCTACACACTTAGCTCATCTTTATCCTAAAGTATAAAAATACAAAAATGTTGACTCATTGTCTTCAGTACTTGCTATTTCTTTTTATATGTATATATTTAAGTTGTGAGTATCACTAGTATTTTTTTGCTGAAATATAGCTGAAGTTTGATTTATTTCTAAATGCCAATTGTCCATAAATTATTTATTGAAATTTCCTGTGTTGATATGGAATGTTACCAATTTTTTTTTAGAAATCAATTTTTTTTTGTTTTTGTTTTCAGAAATGGAAATTTAAAGTGTGTAATTACTAAACTACCTACTTCACTTGGTCCAATTGCTACTCCTGTACTGTACTGCTGCCAAAGCAGTGGGTTTTTTAAAAAAATATTTATTTTTAAGTTGTAGTTGGACACAACGCCTTTATTTTATTTATTTTTATGTGTGCTGAGGATCGAACCCAGGGCCTCGCACGTGCTAGGTGAGCACTCTACTGCTGAGTCACAATCCCAGCCCCATGCAGTGGTTTTATAATACATTTTAGTAAACATCAGGTTGAATCTCCTTCATTGGCCTTTCTTTTACCAGTCCTTTTCTAAAATCATTTGGATTTTAATGTCATAGTTTAGGTGAAGTGTGTGTGTGTGGGTGTGTGTGTGAGATAGAATTGGTGCTAGGGATTAAACCTAGGGGTGCTCTACCACTGAACTACATCCCTTGCCCTTTCTATTCTTTATTTTGAAACAGGAGTTGCTGAGGCCGGTCTTGAACTTGCCATCCTCCTACCTCAGCCTCCCCAGTCATTGGGATTACAGGTATGTAGCACCACACCTGAGTAGGTGGAAATTCTATTTAAAAAATATTCATCTGTCTGATAATAGAATGATCATTTTTTTTCTTTCAAGTCTTATTGAAGAACATAAGTAGAATTTTTTTAAAAAAATATTGTTTTCTTCATCTGAGTTCTTCTGCTTCTTATTAAATCTGTATGGAGAACTGAGAAAGGTCTGGGATTTTTGCTCTTTCTGCAAATAAGTTAGCTGCCACAGTGTCATGGGTGCTGACTGAAGACAGATGACTTCTACGTGAGGGACACAGCAGGTCGCGAAAGCTCCATGTTCCCATCTACCTCCCTGTCCAAGTGGCATGGCATATGCTGCATAAGCAACCTGCATCACAGCTGAGAAACTCTAAGTTTAGGAAACCCTAATGAGAGGTCAGGGCAAGCTACCACAAGCTGATCTAGAAAGGGAAGAGTGAACCAGAGGGGAACAAAGAGCATTCCAGGCAAAGGCCCTGTGGTGAGAAGTGGGCAAATATAAATCCTGGGGTTGGGGGAAAGCCAGCATGGCAACTCCATTGTCTTCTAGCTAATGATGCTGAAGGGAATGAGCCTGTTTATTTCTTCCACTATAAATGACCTGTTGGTTCTCCCTACCCATGCACAAATTTTTTTATCCTTTGTATCATTTTTACTAAAACTTGTGTTGTTCATTCTTAAATTTTCCTTAAAATTTTTTTTTTAAGCTGGTGATGGACCTTTATTTTATTTATTTATATGCGGTGCTGAGAATCGAGCCCAGTGCCTCACACATGCTAGGCAAGCGCTCTACCACTGAGCCACAACCCCAGCCGTCATTCTTATTTGCTCACTTAAGCAACCTCATTACTTAAAATTATTTTTATTTATGACAAGGAATTGGGGAACGTCTTCCTGCTTAATAGATGAAATACGTCATCATCCCGGTGTGATGAATTGAGGAGCCTGAGAGGTGGCATCTAGTATCCCACCAATCATGGTTCCTGGTTGTTCCATTAGCATGAAATTTGTTGATCAGATTTAAAAGGTCCAGAAAGGCCATCACATTCTCTTAGATCCATGTCCTCCTGTGGAAGGCAGGAAGTAGAAAGCAGCACAAGCCCTGAATTTTCCTCCTTATAGGGCAAGGGACGTGGATCCTCAAAAAAATCCAGTGAAAAGATTATTTTAATTTTTATTTTTAGGAAAAATTTCTGACACTTTGAAAATTTTTTGGAACATTAAATTTCATTTTTAATGATAAAAAATCTGATTATATTTACTTGTATTTGATGTTTTATTGTCATTTAAATTCAATTTTCTGTTGTTAGTGATGCTTACAAATGCAATTGGTTTTTGTAAGAAAACATTCTTAGGATACTGTGCTCATTGACTTGTTACCCTTCCTTTACCCTTCAAACCTATCAAGAAGAGGGTTTTTTATATATATATTTTTATATATATAATTTTTTTATTAGTTGCTCAAAACATTACATCAAGAAGAGTTTTTTGAGGAGGGGTCTCAGCAGAGCAGGACAGCTCACCCTTTGTGGGGACTCTTCTCAAAAGAGAGGAGAACCTCATACCTTCTCCATGGTGGGTTTTCTCTTGTTGACTTTTGATCCTGATGTTAATGGATAGTTGCTACCTCCTCAATGAAGGCAAAGTAAAAGGTAAGGAAGCACTTCCTCCACTAGGAATACTTTCTGTTTCCTAAGTCTGCACAGATTAACTAATAATGAAGCAGAAACTTGAGGATGAGAGGTCAAAATGGAACTCAGACCAAGTTTCACATAACAGAAATCTTATTAAATACATTTTGTTGGTTTTCAGTATCTTTGGTAGCCCCTTTACCAAAGAGAAAAAATAAAAAAGGGAATTTGAGGGGCATTTGTTGGCATTGTGGAATCCAGACACTAAGTCTAGAACCAGAATGATTTGGTTTTGCTTACATATTAGTAACTTTATGTTCACTGATCATAATTAAGATGCTTTTAATTATATCACATGTCTCTATTTTGTGTACTACCAGGAAAGAAAAAATGCTTCTGATGGAATTCTGACATACTTAAAGTACTACAGTGTACCTTGATTTCAGAGATGTTAAATGTGTGTATAAAATATGTATTTTAGAATCAATGAGATAGGGTATTTTTCTTCAGTTTACCAAAACAGGAAAAATTGATATCCTAAACAACTTGTTCCTCTATCAAAAATTCTCAACTGTGCATTCCATAAAATATTAATAGTTTAAAATTCTATGTATTAAATATAATATGGTATTTCTAAGAACAATCAAGATTATTGATAGAATACTGTTAATCTCCAGAGAATTAACAAAGTGACCTGACCTTTGTAAATGATGCCTCAAATTTCCCCTGTCAGGTTTTTAAGAATTTCCTCTATTTCAGATTTTGCTTCCTGGGTAAAGCAGTCTAGTTCCCCACTGCTGCCCTGGTCAGGATGTAAGGACTGTTCCCATCATCTTCCCCAACTTCTTCTGCAGCCTTGGATACTTCCACTAATCCTTAGAGATGAATTTTATGACTAAACATCAGCCCAAGGTAAAGTCTGATGTTCTGCCCACTTGGTACATTCCTAAACGTTCTAGCAAATCTGATCCCAGGGTCCATCAGCTGCTCCTTGCTTCTGGGTTTAGGCAATTCTACCTGAGAAACTTGTGATTCCTATTTTTAATGCTATGCTAGGATTATTAGGGCACAGGGATCTGCACAAAGCATTACACAGGTGACACTTACCCACAGTCCCAATATCTTTCCCGTGGTGGCGTTTTGGCATGTCTTCCACTTTTTTCCATAACAATCTGCATAATTTGTGTGACACTTCTTTCTCTCAGCATCAGGTTATGCAAAGAGTGATGCTAAAGGCTCTTAACAAGTTGATTGTTTTATTCTGTAGATATGTTAACTATTCCCCTGTTGCTCATTATTTGAGTTGTATTCATTTCATTTTTGCAATTCTAAATTACATTAAAATGAACATCTCTGTATGCAAATCTCTGTCCATGTTTTGATGGAGGGAATCATGCACTTCAATACAATTGTACTGTTAAATTTTTTTGAGGGAAAAAACAGATCATGACATTTTATAACCCAATCGAAGGAGTAGGAATAAATATGAGATAATGGCCGCATTTATTTCATACTACTATTATAATGGTCCAAAGCTGAACTGAGAAACTGAGACACAAGTCATCTTGTCATTGATGACATCACCAGTTTCATTGGTTGTCAGTGACTTCCCTGCCTAGTTATAGGCCCCTGGAGAGTTGCTGTCCTTGAGATTATACCAAGTGGCCAGTCACCTCCCTGATCCCAGGGGCACTGTGAACACTCCTGGGGTGCCTGACCTTCACCTCATTGGTTGTCCCCTCCAATAAGTATCACCCAAAGTCACCAAACTGGATTTGTTTACCTTGCAAACCAAACACTTCTGTTTTTGTTTTGCTTCATGTCTGGACCAATTCTTAGCACCTCTTCTGCCTGTGAGCGATTTGTCACCTCATTCTGTAAGACTGGCACCAGCAGAGATGCAGTCACAGAGGATCCCGGGGAGAAAGCGAGGCCGACCCCCCCTCCACTCCACACCTGTGAAGATGGCCGTCCACAACCTTTATTCTGCTTCCGCTGGCTCCTTACCAGCTGTGAAGATGCCGAAGAAAAGGGGGCGGAAGCCTGGGTACAAGGTATGGCTTTCAATGAACTAGTGTTGGGCTGGGGCCCCCTGGGACGTGGGCCGAACCCCACTGCAAGACACAGGGAAAGATGGAGAGCTTGGTAAACACAGGCTGAGAAACAAGCCTCTCTCCAGGCAGCACGCGAGGGACAAGGCCTCATTGTTACAATGTGGCACAGAATGCCTGCTGTCACATGCATTTTTACGAGTGGAGAAAGCAAATTACACCAGATGGGGAAGCTGTAAGGCGAGCAGATTTTAGGGTCATAGCTGAACACACGTTACTAAACCCTGCGTCTGAATTAGTGTCTGTGACACTGAGCTTTCCCTGACTGTTCTTACTGGGGTGGTTGAAGCCATTTCCCAGAATTCGTTCGTCATTCCTTTGAGTAGAAGCAGATGATGTTCCTGAGCCATTTAAATGAATAACACAAGCAGGCCAGTATCAAAGGACGTAGAATAGTCCTCTCAAAATGGGCAACCATAAGGAAAATTCAGGGTGTTAATTGAGTTTCCTGCTTATATAGAAGGTGCTGATGTCAAGTTTGGCTACAAGAGGGTAAAGCAGGCAAAATTTTAAATCCTGTGACCCTTTTAAGAATTAACAATAATTTGAAGAGACTGGAAGGACAATAGATCTTCAGATGTAACCACAATCCCAGAAACCAACCCAAACCCGAGGGGCAGCTCCTTCTGTAAGACATGTTGGAAGAAGAAAGAATATTCTGCTTGTTCTCTACAAGTCTTTTGGGCATTAGGAAATGAGTTTCAGAAGTTTTCCTCCATTTGTTTTTCTTGAAATTAAGGTTTGTGTTTCCATCTTGAGACCTGAATACTGAAACCCAAATGCAAATTGGCAATTAACTCTCATATATTAGGAAAATGTATGGAAATGATTTCAGGTCAGCAGAAAGAGCTTCTGAAATTGTTGGTAATGAATTCAACCTTTATCCCGTTGCTTCTCCCAGTTCTTCCAAATGCTAGAAAATAAAAACAGTAGGTGTGGGGACTTGGTTACTCCATGTTATTTTAAGGTCATTTTTCTTTTAGTAGGAAAAAAAAAAAGCTTTTACTAAGTCATCTCATAAGGTAAAGTCTTCTGTCATTGTTGCATTTCTGACACAGGGAACCTTCTTCACTCACAGTGTGTAGAGTTGTGTCTCTGGGGCTGGCCCAGGGCAGGTGTCACTCACTCAGGTCCCTGTGCCATTGCTGGCATCTGGGAATTGTATCTGGAGGGCTAGGGCTGGGAAGCTCTTCTATTTATAGAGCCAAGAAGCAAGTCCAGGCTCTGAAGAAACAGACTGAAAACTTCTCTCTTCTCTTTGGCCTTCTTCTTGCTCCCCTGGGGGCTGTGACCCAAGAATGAAAATTACCAGCAGACACAGCATTTTTGGAGCCAGGAAGAATGGAAATTCAATCCATGGAATGGACCTGGTTTTGCACTTTTCCTGTCTCCTAAAAAGGACAGTTTTCAATGCTCCTGATGCTCAGAGACACCTCAGGTCAGGATGAGAGTTTTTTGGTTGGTTGGCTGGTGGTACAGGTTGTGCACAAAGCCAGCAGCAGGTCATTTTCGTGACTCTGTAGGATTTTTTTTCTGGGGAAAAAAGCCACAACTCTTTTTTTAAAATATCTACTTCTTGGTTTTTTAAGTGGACACAATATCTTTATTTTATTTTTATGGGGTGTTGAGGATCGAACCCAGTGCCTCACGCATGCTAGGTGAGCATGCTACCACTTGAGCCACATCCCCAAACCACCACAACTCTTTTTTTGAGTCTGCTTCCCTTATATTTAGGAAAATGTATGAGAAGTATTTCAGGCCAAGAGATCATGGACAGCTTCTCAAGTCATAAGTTTAATGTTCTAGAAGAATAACTCCAAACAAGGTGCCAGACTGAATGATGTTTTCACCCATCAATGATGACATGAGAAAGATAACCATTTGAAGTCTTCATAAAGCTAAAATGATTCTGCTTTTTTTTTCTCCTTTTTTTTGGAAACATATCTGCTTGCTATTGTTTTGTGGTAAACTAATTTTTTGATTCATTAAATGTTAAATGCTGATAGGATTTGGTAATTAAAAAATATTCTTAGCTGGCAAAATAAAGTTGGCAACCTATTAGCTCTCCCTGGTTTTATTTGGACAATTCCTTGGATTCTGACACCCTCATTTTACCATTAATGAAAGGACTTTAATTGTGGAGAAACCAGCAAGGAAATTGGACAGTCTCACTCCATTTACCAAATGGCCACTAATTTGGCAATTTTAGCTAACTGGGACACAGTTAGGAGACAGAAGTTATTAAAAAGAATTCCTGACCAAGCGAAATAAGATCTTACTTGGTCTGACCTTAAAGATTTTGTATTTTATTACTAAGAAAATGCTTCCAAGGCCTTCATCAGAGTCCACTTACCTTTACTGTAAACATTTCTTACAAACTCAATTCTAGCAGTTTATGGCCTTCTATTTGAAGGGGCAGGTGTTCTTGGAGAGAAGACCAAACAGACACCTGGACCCTAAAAGCATAGTATGAATTATTGTTATAACATGGTACTAGTATACAAACATATAAAACCACAAAATAATACAGCATAACATCAGTATTATAAAATAACAAAATATAATTTATCATGTCAAAATAGTATAGTGATGTGTTGATGATAATAATATTATCATAATTAAATAATACTATTTGGAGCCTTTGGCAGGCTTTTCTGGAGATTCTCAGGAGGCCTCATTGTGCTGACTGCATCTCAGGTCTGTGCCGGTGGACGTTTGTCCCTTCTTGGCTGGAGGTGTTCCAAGCTATTCTGTCAATCACCTCTGTGCTCTTGCACATATGGGAGGTCTCTCTGGTCCAAGAACTGACACAAGCTTCCCCCTTCAAGACCCAAGAACAGTTAACAGTAGTGAGCTCGAACTGCTTCTGAGTCTTGAGGATAACTTGAGTGAATTGCAGGCCGAAAAGGAAGGGTTAAACTGGCGGTCATGTTCCCTGGAGTTCATAGGTCAGGCCCCCTCCCAGGGCCCATCTGGTCATCTCTCTCTTGACCTCAGGCCAGCAGCCACATTGCTGGGGCATGCTTGCCACTGTGTGAACATCATATTTTATGGCCTTACTGCCCCCTGTCATCTCTGACAAAGGAAGCAAAAGCCTCTTAACATCATATCTTCTGTGAAGAGCCATGCTCTGCTATGAAGATAGCTGCCTTCATTCTCAAACAGAACACTTACTTCTTAGCTCAAAGCATCTGTTTTGGCTTTGGACCTTCGTTCAGAGACTCCCCAAATCAACAGGTAAATGTTCTTAAATTTCCTGACTACAAACACTACTGAAATCTTTTTAAAGAGACAGGAAGGGTTGGCTCCAAGGATGAATGCTAGCTTCTATTCGGTAGGTACAGCTATTTTGATGTAGGATTTCCATCTGGCTGATCAAAACTGTGAATTGGATAATAGTTGTTGAAAACAAAAAAAGAATTTTAGTTTTTTTGTGCCACTCCCAATGTAACGGCCACAGAGGACACTTTTTAAGACTTAAACACTTTTAAGTTTAGTCAGCATTTTTAACATTTTTACCCATCATTTTCTCAAGTCTGTCATTGAACACAATAATAAATTCAGCCCTAATCTACAGCATTTGCCAATTTCCAAGGTGAAGATATTCCCCGTGTAGCTAATTTTGAGCCATATTATGGTGAACCTGGACATGGGCTGGGAAAGGATGTTCAGAAGCACAGCTTTGGTGATACAGGTGCAAAGTAAAATGATTAGAAAGTGATGAATTTTGAGTATTTATTGCTTCTGTTTTTAATAAGCTTTATTTAATTGTGCATATATACACTTGGATTTTAATAATGACTATTTAGCAATAAACATGCAATATTCCTGAAACTTTAAGTCATCTCTTATGGATAAATATAAGCTGGCTCCAGCACCCCCTGCTCTGAGTTCTGCTGTGAGCAGGATACATAGAAACACCTTTCCAACGTCCCTTTTCTCATCAACAGGGCTGATTGATTTGACCCCACAGCTGCTGATGTAGAAACTTGGCCCCCTCCCCAGTTTCTGTAAGAAACCCAATTATACCAAGCATTTCTCAAAATGTGTTGCTTCTGAACAAGATTGTTGGGGTCACAGGGCACGGTGGACAGGGTGACATTAAATGATTTTCAGTGATACAACTGTTTTTCTGTATTCCACTTTCTGCACTGGTGGTTTTCCTTCTTCCTTCTTGCTCCTGGTACCCTAGGGTACAGTTTCATTGTGTCTCTCTTGCCTTTCCTCTCGGCAGCAAGATTAAATCATTCCTCCCCACCCTAGGCAGAGCAGCAGCCCACTCCCTGCTCCTCTCTAGATCCAGATGGAGAATCTCAACCCAACGCAGAGCTGCTGGGAGAATCTCCAGCACCTTCATCCTTCCCCCACATCATTTGCATCTCTGAAAGACACATTCCCTTCCCACCTCCAAGCATCTTCTGATGTCATTGCAATGCCCACAGTATATTGTATTTGGACAATTTTATTTTCCTAGGAAACTTTTAGTGCAAAGAATATTTAGTTAGGATCCCAAATTTGCCCAAAGCAGGCCTCAAGGCCAAAGGATACTGATGCTTTCATTTCTTGGGTATTTAATCTTTCCCCCATGTGCAGGGCGAAAAGGTATTGGTGGATCCAGTTGAGGATCCCATGGATCCAGTTGAGGATCCCGTGGATCCAATCGACTCCTAGGAATGGAATTAGGTCATTGGCCACAAACATTCTGTCATTGAAAATAATTTGCATTTCTATCAGGCAAGTAGACTAAAGTCTGAGGTCTTAAGCAGACTAAATTATTATTCAATTTAGTATGCTACATTTCTTCTAATGAGCATTTGATTTATGGCATGGACTCAGATTCATTGCTTCCAAAATTCATCTACTGCATGGTATATACACAGCATTAAGGGTTGGGAGAGAGCTTAACAACCAACAACTCTAGCCCATTAATGGATTGGAAGATG